AAAGTAAGTTAAAGTCAGCACTAAAACTCCATAAGTATTATTCTGATACTGTTGGCATTCTTCCTCCATTAATTAACAATAGCAAATGCCAAGCCAAGCTCAAGATTTTGGAATGGGGCAGGAATGGGGCAACAAGCCACTTCTTCATGTTATTTGGTCTTGGTTATTTTACATACACTGAGTTAATGAAACGTACTGCCACATTTATGCATTACTATCAGCAGTTAAGCAGTGATAACTAAAAACAATTTAAGGATGTCTACCAACTTTTTTTACAGCACAGAACTATAAAAGTGATCACTAACCATTCCAACTGTAATCCAATTCAATCTTATTAGGGAATAAGAATTACTGAACTCTTTGAAATATATTTCTGGAGAAGTGTCATTGCTATTGCACTGAAGAGCTCAGAAGTTGAGCAGAACAATTATTTTACCATGAACATGCATTGATTTGTTGAATGGTTATAAACCACCATGAACTGGTTTATATAGGACAAGGTAAAATCTCCCCCAAGTTGAGTGCAACTCATTGATAGGGAATGACCAGGAAATACCAGAACTTTGGGGGATTGGAAGTGGGATGTAGGGAGTGCAGACTGGGAATTGAAAAAACATTACAGAAAACATCCCCGTGATAAATCTGTTCCATTTTATTTCTAAGAAGGTTCCATGGCCCCATGGCACTTACATATAATTCTTTTCTACTTCTTTCTTTTCTACTTCTTTCTTTGTGTCTATTTCAATATAAATTGAAAAAAGAGTAAAGAAAGTAAAGAAAAGAAAAGTAAGAAGTGAAAAAAAAGAGCTGCAAAGAAAGAAGTAGAAAAGAGAGTGAAAGAAAAGAAAAAGTTATAAAGAAAAGAAAAAAATTATAAAGAAGCGACTTCTGATCTTAACAGCAGTTCCAAGTGCATTTATATTTTACCCTCTCTCTCTAAGGTTACAACAAAATTTCTTTCTTTCCATAATCTACCCTTTCTAATCATCACACCCATAAATCACAAGTTCATTTTTTTCTTTTTTCAGCAAAAAGTTCAGAAGGGGTTTCCATTCACTAATAAATGTGGTTATTGCCCTTCCTCTAATCAGTCAAGTCAATCTCTGCTAATTCTGTCATCTTCACCAGCCACTCCTCCATTGTGGGTATTTCAGAGTCTTTCCATTTTTGTGCATAAAATAGTCTCGCAGCAGTAATCATATCCAAAAGCAATCTTCCATAACTCTTTTCTAATTGTCTACCCATTAGTCCCAGCAAGAAAAGTCACATTATAGTCTTCTTGATGCCAACTGAGGACTTTCTTTTTCCCCCAACCAGACATTCCAAAATCTATATTAGTATTTTACTTTTCTATTTCTTACAATTTTGCTCTTGAGAACAGCTGTGCCCTCTGGAATGGCAGAATATGATGTAACAAAATTAGCAGTGGGAAAAATATTGGCCATAGAAATGAAGTGCCTTGTTGCTTATGAAAGACAACTTTGGATCTAACCCAATAGAATTTCTTAACTCTGTCTTGTGGAAAAGCTAAGCATTATATTGCATACGTATTCATCTCTTTGCTCTGTGCATTGCTTCCAGAAGAGAAGATGACTGAGAATATAACAATTCTCCCTACAGTCAACTAATCTTGGTTACAAATTCAGAATTAGCCACTTACTCCCACCCCCATTACCTGTCCCATTTATTTCCAAAAGTGGCATTTGAAGATGTATTGTTTTTCCCTCCTTGGTGCAAAACACAGGCAAATAGCTGAGTTGTGAAAGCAAAGTACATTTATTAATGATGACAAATTAATAATACCACTGCACTGTATTAAGTATTCTATTTATACCTCAAACTTTGGCAAAAAGAATGTGATAACTCATCTGAAAGTTGAACTTCTAAATCCTTTTTCTCTTTCCTTCTCTTTTTATTTTGCTATACATTTATTCTGAGACTTTCTTCAGTGCTTCCTGTTTGGGTCACAGACAAATGATATATAATCTTACTACTGTGGTGAAACTTCAGTGGAAAGAATATCAGCTGAAGAAAAATCCAGCTGAAGAAGGCCCAAGGAAAATAATGTTCTGACTCAAGTAATTCTTTAGCTCTGGGTGAATTCTGAAACAGGCAGCATTGCTTTGAAGATGGGAGCAGAGAAAGGTGGCATGATTTAAATTCAATTTGTGATTACGCCTTACTAGCAGACAACACTCTTTAGAACTCATTACGTTTCTCTTTAATTGTTATTCTTTCTCCACAGAAAGAGTGTGGGAGTAGACAAGAAACACGTTAGTTCAGAAAAATAATAAGTTATAACAGAATAAACATAGATCATTGGATAAATCCTTGAAACTGTAGGTAATAGTAAGTGCATGGAACCAAATTAAATAAAAGGAAAAGCAATTTTCTGCTACGCTCTTGGCAAAATAAATAGTATGCAAAATAATAAGCATTTATATTATGCCACTGAATTGATCTAAGTAAGGAGCTGAACATTTATATGAAAGAGGATCAAATGGGATCAATGATAACATATTTCTGTATAGTATTTTAATTCAGGACTCTACAATGGTTAGCAGTCCAGTTTCCTTTTCTTACAATGATTACATTAAGAAGAATGTCATCTTGACAATCAGATTATATACTATAATAAGATAATTGTATGAAATATTTATTATGAGAGGACAGGATATTGTCTTTATTATTGTGATATTTTTATTTCTGCTGTGAGCATTTTAATGTTCATATTTAACTGTGCATGTTTTAAAATTCTTGAATTTAGACTGGTTTGGATTAACTTGAGATGGGTGGGTTTTTATTTAGAGTTTTATTTAGAGTTTAATCTTATTGAGAATTACTGCCATTTTTTAAACTACTGGTTGAAGGATTGGAGGATCTGCTGTGATGGATTTAGGTTCTTCAAGAGCTAACTACCTAGTTTCATTCTCACAGTGCACCAGTATCCTCATGAAGTCAATTATTGTACTGGCTAGCATCTCCATGTTATTCACAATGGTGCTATTCATAGATAGCAATCCTTTGCAATGGATTTGAATTCCTCCTCCTCCCCCCCCAACGGCTGGAATCAAAAAAGATTCCTGACAACTTACACATAATGCAATAAAAACTATTTAAAATATCTATGATAGCATATAAAACCACACAAGAATTTCACAAGTACAACAATAAAGATAGGTATATTTTCTTTAGTTCTCCATTCTGATAGCCCTAAATAGGTATATTAGAAGTTATCAAAAGCTATGACTGTTCATAAAGCTGAATTAACACTTCTACTGAAAGGTACAGTCAGCAAGAATGCAATTTCCACTAGTTTCATCCCCAACTCACCATAGCTGTCTAAAAAGACCTGATTTAAAATATTATATCTACTGAAATACACATGTACAAAAACAAATTCCTCTTAGATGTGTATTATGATTGGCATAATTATGATTCTTGACCCTATGCTAGCAGATGATCTTTCCCAGCACCCTCATGTAGAAGTTGAACAAAAATGAGGAGAGCGTTGTATCCTTAGGACACTACAAAGGGTCTTGGGCTGAATCTCTCCCCACTGACTGAAATCACACCCAGAGGAAGGAGAAACACTGCAAAATAGCACCGCACCCTACCCCATCTCAGAGACAGTCTAGAAGGTATTGATAACAAATACTAATGTTTATGTATTGTTCAATTTTATTATTTTTGTGTAGATTTATAGATTTTTATTTTTGCTATTTTCAATTTTTCAGTTGTACATTGCCTAAAGAATCTATATTACTAGCTAGCAAATATATTTACAATTTCATATTACTACTGTTACTACTACTACTTCTTATCCCTATCAGTTCATATGGATATAGTATTTGTTTGATTCGAAATTATTTTTCGCTGTTTAGTTTTTCAAGCCAATGAAGACATTTAGTATTTTAAGAGGCATACTATTAAATGAAAGGCATTCATTTATATTGTGTAAATATGCATTCATTATTAATAATAGTAATAGTAATAGTAATAATAATAATAGTAATAACAACTTATTAAATTTATATGTCTGACTCCCAGTGACTCTGGGCGGTTTTCACTTTGTAAAAACATTTCAAACAAAGCTGGACCTTTAAATCTTAAAAATTTCTTCCACATAAATTAAAATTTTCAATTGCACACGTGTTAATTTATTATATCTTTAACAATGTATCTTTTTTGTAGCAAAGTCTAAATGACAGCAGATTCCAGTTCAAAAGTTTTTTTCAATTTCTACATACAGAGGTCCATCAGTATATTCATGTCCGTTCCATGCTAATCTGAAAATAACAAAGCTGCACCACCCCAATACACAAGGTGAAGGTGTCAACAAAGGTGCTTTCAAGAAACAAAAAAAATTAAGAAGTGGGGACCCCCAGCAACAGCCCAATTATAATTCAGTGGCAAAGAGAGTTTGACTGGCACATGAGAGGGAAGGAGAGCTAATAAATACAAAGGAGAGGCAACGAAACACAAGACACTGGAGAAAGAAGAGACAGAATGGCTATCTCTATACGCAATTTCCTGGTTCACCTTGGAAAGGTGTCCCCTGAGATGAAGTGGAAGCTATTTATAAATATTAATAGAGTCATTTCTATTGGAATAGCCAGCAAAGTAGTCACTGTTTTGCTGGCTATTCCAGCAGAAGCATCCCACATGTATAGACACACATGTTCAGAAGTCCTGAAGCAGCCATACCAAACCTTTGAGCAGCTGCTTTGAGGACCAGATCCAGAGGGCACTTTGCAAAGTGGCTTGGTGAATTACTTGCAAAGCCCTATTAAGTTTCCTTTGCTGATATGAGGACAATGATAATGCAGTTAATAAATCTGGGCTTTTTCCATCTAGTATAACAGATCACAGCAACTCAAACAAAAATGAGATATAAAGATATAGGTAGGCCAACCTCTTATGACACTAATTGTTTGTAATCATTTCCAGAAGGAATTGCAAGTGAGTGAACAAATGCCCACAATCTTCTCAGGATTTACCTTGTGACATCCGATTTTGTTTTCCTGTTTATACAAGAAATAGTCAGATAAAATCTCATATGGAAAGTCTGATCAGGTGCCAGTAAGATTTACTTCACATGCTATTTATTTATCCTTAGTTGGGATCCAGGTTTCTTGAACATGCAGAAGGCAATTCTGCCAATCCTTCCACTCTTTCCACAGGGTCTTTTGACCCTCAAGAATAGCTTTGAGGAGCACATGCAACCCAAGGGAAGAAATATACATGAAACCCCAAAAGCTCTTTTCTAGATTAAATCTGTTATCTGTGGGTTTTGCCATGCAACCTCATTTCTAATTACTGAATAAAGTCAACCAATTTTCCTGACGTCCAGCACTTTCCCCCCAGAATTGGTCTGAAGACGAAAAATCAGCTTATTTTGGTGGAGGACTGGTTGCATCCTCTGGTAAGTAAGTAAGTAAATAAGTAAATAAGTAAATAAGTAAGTCCTATTCTATTTACCTTTTTATGCATAAATATGACTTATGAACAACGAATTTATATACTGCTGTTACATAAACGTTGAGGACTGAAGAATTTGCAGAACTGCTGCAATAGCTGGACATTTGTACAGGAGCAATAGTCTAATTATAAAATTGCAATCCTTTTACATTTTGTATGAGCGAAAATATTGCAGCAGTTGTTTATTCTAAAAGAATATTGGGAAATGTCACATGCTGCAAATTAAAATTCTAAAAGGAAAATTTCATGAAATACAAAACAGAAACAGTCCTTCTGTAGTGGCTTTCCAAAACATTTCAAACAATACGAAGTGGATAGGTGTAACACACGCTTCCCTTTTTCACATAAAACCCAGCTGAACATTTCAGATTTGCTGAAATTCAAGGGGAATGCCTAAAATAAATGAACAGGAGGTGAATAAATTAAGCACTGGTAAATAATTAAAAATCAAATATTTATCAGGTTAAAAAACAAACCTTTTTCAACATTTTGTTTTGCTTATGGAAGAATTCCACCTTGATATCACCACACACTGGCAACGGCTGAGGGAATTCAAAGTACATGTATTTGTCTTCACGTCTTGTAGGTCCTGAAGAGGAGGTGAATATCTTTACCTTAAGCTGGTAGACCACAAACTGAGGATCTGTGCAATAAAACAATTTTTCAACAAGAAGATTAAAGAACCACCCTAGTTCCAAAAGAATTGTAACAGTAAGCAAAAAATAAACATTTTTAAAAGGCTTTGGACAAGAATATCTAATCTCTCTTATGTTATGCTATAAAGTTATACTAACCCTACACTAATAACCTGGGAAAGCTCCAAAATGTTCCTGATGCTTCCACATCAGTTCAGCACTATATGAAAGTTGAACTTGATGTGGGAGTTACCTTTTGCAGAAAGATAATATAAGGAACAAGTGGCTAGTATCAATCTGCGATATCAGAGTATGTCAAGCCAATCTCAGAAAAACAATATTCAATGGCAGATTTAATATAATTTTATGACTGCAGATAAGCAACTGTTTTATCAATATTTTGTTTATAGTAGTCTTCTGCATTATCAACTCTAAATTTACTACAGTATCCAATTATTTATACCATCTTATAATGTCAAAGACTTGTGATCAGGAAATGTAATTGTGAGAAATATCATCTTGATGGCCTCAGCTGATCAAAAGTACAGGAAGTTTTCACCTTCTATGAAATTTGACCAGCAATTTAAAAAGCAAAACTAAATCCCATCTAAGTTCACTGAAAGCAAGTTTGGTTCAACTCAATGAAATTTACTCAGAAAAAAAAAGGACATAGCAATTTAAATACTGATTTTATTTTAAAAAATTACATAATATACTAAGCTCATTATCTGTTCTAGTACATATACTAAAATCAAGGGCAAACTATAATGAAAGGAAATTTGTAAAGCATTTAGAAAAGCTTGTGACTTAAAAAAGATGGAAGCCAACCTTTATATAACTATTATATTTTATTATATTATATTATATTATATTATATTATATTATATTATATTATATATAAATAAGGATTATAGACACACTAGCTTGCTATATTAAGATAAGCATGTTCAGCTAAGAAAAGTACAACAAATTTTTATCACTAGTACTGCTGTGCGTATGCAGTGAACAACTCAAAACAGGCTGGTTCAGTTCCCAATATTCTTTTAGACAACCTTACGATTAGTATGCAGGCATCACATTCAAAATACACCCTAACTCAGTTCTGTAAGATATTCTGCAGGAGAAACAGAAATGCTAGGGCAAAAGTTACAGAAGAATCAAGCTGAACTATGGAATCTCACCTGCTGGAAAATATGGAAAAATCAAAATTAGGAAATGTTATCTACAGTACATTGTCATGGTCAGCCAAAAGGAATTAGGTAAAATTCCTAAGGAAAAAGCTGACCAGTAAACACAAGTGAGGGATAAAAGTGTAAGAAATACATATTCCAAGAATCTGGAAGCTATTTAACCAAAACTAGTGAATTTTTAACATTCTACTTGAGGACCTAGAATCCTTCTCCTATTCCTCCCCTTACTATACTTAACAGTCTAGTATCAGTGGTAGAGTC